AAACTCAACGTAAGTTTACGCTTTACGTGACCCTAAAAAACGTAAAGTACCAACTAAGCCCCACCTGAGGCCAACGCTGCAACCAAACCACTCATGCAACTGACACGTGCTTCAAGGCACTCAGCGATGAGTGGTTCGCTTGTGGGAACTCTGGCACCCCTCCTCGCTGGTCTTCAGGAGGTCAATCTGTTCGAAAGCACACTCAATTCTCAGCTGAACAAGATGCGCACCAATGAAGTTGAGCATAAAATATTATCCAACCAGCCCAAGAATCACTTTTGAGGAAGCACATTCCTTCCAAAGCTATGAAATATTGCCTTTGATCCCCAATGTGAGAGTGGTTATTCCCGCTTGGAATAGCTGCTGCAACCATACTCTAGCCTGCTTATCCCTAAGAAATCAAATCCTACTTGTCTTCAGCTTTGTCTACACCCTCAAGAAATAATTACACAACTCGATTTTAAGTCATTGAGATATGCAGTAAGGACATCACACAGATATTCCTTTCAGCAACAAATTTTTGTTCCTCGTAAGTCTTTTCTTCCAAGAAAAGAAAACCCTAGGTGGTCAAGCCCCCCTAGCGGAGCCCCCAGGTTCTTTTTCTTTTTCGTTTTCAAAGGTTGCCAGGTTGTGGTTTGGGTACTAATTGTCTTTGTGTTAACATTTGGCTATCCCTGTACAACAATTTATGCACATTTGTATTTGCTTACCTCGTGGCACATTCATATGTAGGCCTAACATGTTCCACTTCCATATATGCCTATTAGAGTGGATGTGTGAGCTATCATGATTACTTTTCAACTCTCATGGCTTTTCAAACTCCTCCACATCTCTCTCGCCCCAACAACTTACTCTATCCCTCTCTTTTCTTGGATGGAACCCGTTGTGTGTATGTACCATCAGGGGTCTATCAGTTAACAAATTGAGTGGGTCTATTCCATCCACCATCGGCGACATGATCAGCCTTGAAGACCTGTCAGTATCAAGAAGATTTTATTGAGACTTCAACTTTGGCTTGGATGGCTCTGATTCATTCCTTCAATTTCTCCTTAAAGCTTGTTTTTTATTTTATTTGGGCATGAGCAAAGAGAGCCGGGCCAGCCCACCAGCACCATCGAGGACCATCAGAGCGATAATGGGTTGGTTTCACAATAAAGCTTTGGGAGGTCCTTCATATGGTGACAGACAGTGGCATTTTACTAATCCGGGCGAAGTTGGGATCTTCCAACCAAATCCGTGTCAATGAACATTTTGCTAGCAAAATATGTGTGGACATGACTTCAAACATGCCCGCCTTGGGCTGTGGCATGGCAGACAGTACATGACCTCGTTGCAGCAAGCCAGCCGTGGTCTGATGCCTGAATTGCTACTCGAGAGGTAAGAAGGTTGGCCTTGGTCTGGCCCTATTCTCCTTTTTAATGCCCCTTGCTTGACCCTGTGCTTATGTCTCATCCTTGCACGATCATGGTCGGAATGCAATTTCTCAAACCGTACTTGTGTTACCCTTGGTAGGAACTATGTGAGAACCGTACCCGTTTTCAAAATTTGCAAGAGAAGGAGTTGTAACTAGGCCGGTGTGGTTTATGCCTCTGTGACCAGACATGACCGGGTCGGGATTGAGAGGATTTGGGATGGGCATTAATCTTGCTTTGATAGCCGTGGCTTGTGGCCTGTCTGATTGAGTTGGGCCAAGCCTAATCTACCACTATCCTAGGAAATCTCATGACAAAGGGTCCACGTTTTTCGCAACCAGCACTTTCCACTATCAGAAATGTCCTCAGGGAGGCATAAATGACTCCTTAAGATTGAGCAGTAGGCACAAGCATAGGTCCAAGACAAGCTGGCATGTTTCAAGTTGCCATGCGCTGATGGGCTGACGAGCCAGTCGGGCAACTCACCGGGTTCGTGGCTTGTCCATTGTAGGCAAGCCGGTCAAGCTTAAACAAGCAGGTATGGCTTACCACCGTCTGCTACACACCACTCGGTTGTGGTATTTTGCTGCTTCGGGTGGATCTTGCGTTTTAGCTTTGGATATGCATTGTGAGTTTCTCCTCTAGGTAGGAACAAGCTAGTGCAGTGAAGGCGGTCTGCATTCAGATTAGAAAAGAGAGTGTCCCCGGCAACTTTTTGTAAATTTAGGGTTTCGGGTTGCCGGCGCAAGTTCAATGAGCCATCAAGCTGGGGCTTGGCTCGTTGAGATCCCCTTGGTTCCAGCCAGTTGATACTCAGGACATGAGAAATAGCCCTGTTCATCAAGCATAATCTTGCTCAGTCCGGTCCAGCAAGGTTCGACCAGCTTGTGGCGGGCTGGTGAAAGAAAAGGTTTAACGACTCATTGAGGTTTGTCACGGGCCACAGGATTGAAGCAGCCTGGTTTTACAGATGTACCTTCTCACTGAGGACCAAAACGACTCAAGCAGTCTGACATCAGAACAGTTCAAGTAGTGCGGGCTGGCCGGTGAAAGTCAGGGCACCGTTTGACCTTTGATAAACCAGTTTGGCACAAGTCACAAGGGAACCTGCCCTTGGTCATGTTGTAGTGAAAGGCATAAATTTCAAGCATGAGTAGCCCATCTTTTGCGTCTTTGATGAGTCAATGTGCTCTTAAATTGGTCTTCAATTTCCCTATCCCCTAAAGGTTTCCCACATACTTGAGCACAGCCTTAAGCTGTATGTGAGGGGAGAGACGCATTGGATTGCGAGCATGAGCAGTCCATCTTCTGCGTATTTGATGCGTCAATGTGTTCATAAATTGGTCTTCAATTTCCCTCTTTAGGAGTCCCCTAAAGGTTTGCCACATACTGAGCAGGGCCTTAAGTTGCGTGTGAGGGGAGAGAAGACGCACTGGGATGCGAGCATGGGTAGTCCATTTTTTGCATCTGTGATGCGTCAATGTTCTCTTAGATCTGTCTTTGCTTTCTCTCTTTGGAAAAGAAAACGCACAGAATGCAGGACATTCACAACAAAGTAGAGTTGGGCATGTGGCCCGACTCGACCCGATTTGGCCGGGCCATTCCGGCCCTCGGGTCGGGTTGGGTCGGGCCGGGTTCGGGCCAGATTCCTGAAACAGCTGGCCCAACCCGGGCGTAAGAACTCGGGTCAGAGGTTACCCGATTTCGGGTCGGGACGGGTCAGGAAACCCGATTTCGCCCGCGCTCTGTGCAGATCGGCGCTTTCGTCCGCCGATAGGCACATATCGGCGATTTCTCCCGCCGATCTGCGCGGATCGGCGATTTCTCCCGCCGATCTGCGCAGATCCGCGATTTCTCCCGCCGATCTGCGCGGATCGGCGATTTCTCCTGCCGATCTGCGCGGATCGGCGATTTCTCCCGCCGATCTGCGCGGATCGGCGGTTTCTCCCGCCGATCTGCGCGGATCGGCGGTTTCTCCCGCCCATCTGCGCAGATCGGCGATTTCTCTCGCCGATATTCGCAGATCGGCGATTTCGCCCGCCGATATGCGCAGATCAGGGCTTTCGTCCGCCGATCTGCGCAGATCGATGAGTTCGTTGGCGTAATTCTGTCAATTTCGCTGGTCGATCTGGTGGAGATTGGGAGTTTCGCCGTGACACTCGTTTCCGACGAATGTGTTGGAACAAATATTTCCAACCAATTCGCCATTGCTCACCACTTCTTACTGCATTAAATATACCATTCCCAACCCTCCCCCTCCCACTCTTTACAAATTCCTCGACATCGAGCCTCTCCACAAAGTCGTCTTCTAACTTGTCACATCATTCTTTGGCTGCAAACTAAGTAGTTATGGTTCCTAGGTGTCTTTGGTCGCTGGAGGAAGGATATTAGGTTTACGGTAATGAATTGATGTCGAGGGGAAAAAATACTCTTGAAATAGAATGTGTTAGGGTTTCGGGTCCCCCCTGTGTCGAAATAGGGTCGGGTCTGACCCTACCCGATTTCCCAAATCTTGATCCGATTTCGGGTCGGGTCAAAGCTGACCCGAAACCCGACCCGACTCGGCCTGAGTCTCATGCTCGGGTCGGGTTTTGGCCCGGGTCGGGTCAGGTCGGCCCGCACGGGGCAGGCAATTGAAACCGCTGACTCGACCCGGCTAAACCACGGGTCGGGTCGGGCCGGCCCGACCCGAGCGGGGCAAATGCTCATCTCTACAACAAAGGCAGCATCCTAGACCGCCATGGGTAGCTAACTGGGATCAGTATGGAAGAAGCCTCACCATCTACTTGGTATTGGGGTCTGCCGCCTACCTCTGCACATTAGCCTCATGTGTGAAAATATTAGGTGTGGGGCCTAGGCTTAGTAGCCTAGGCCCACACTAGGAGGTAGGTGAGTTCGAGTAAGTTTCTCCTAGGGGAGAGTATCGAGAGATTTGGAAGGGAAGGAAAAAGGTGTGAGTAGCAAGAGTTGGGATACACAAATAGAAAACCCTAAAGGGTTGTACTCAGTATTGAGCACCCCAATACACGCTAGACAAATAACATTCTGACACACCCCCATAGCCAAAGTGGGGTGTAATCAGCAGAGCAGGCAAAGTAGTACAAGCTCAGGGTGGATCACAATGTCACCACACATTCTGAGCACAAGTTAAAGAAGCAATAGTTTAAAGTTAAGAATTATGAGCAAAGCTAGTGGTAGTCACAACGGGCAAGTGAGGAGGAGGAGAGAGAGTGAGGGGAGAGGAGATAGGAGGAGACGGCTGAAGCTGCAGACACACGGGCAATAGGAGGCAGACTGGCACAGCGGCTACCGGACAGCACCCGGACTACAGGAGTAACAGGCCCCGCGGCTCAAGTAGCGGCAGACGGGCAACGGACCCACGGGCGGCTGGCGTAGAAGTCTAGCTCACTGGGCTACCGGGACAGCGCCCCGGACTAAAGGTGCTGCGGACTACAGGACGGCAACTTCCATGCAGCTTCCCCAAACAGTCCCACCCCCCCTGACACACACCCGCTGCTACACCGCTAGCTCCACTCCCACGCACCCCCCTTAAACCCTAAACCCCAGTCTCCCACACAACCACCCCCCTCAGCGACAGCTGCAGCAGTGGGAGACGAAGGAGGAGGAGGAAAGGGAGGACTGCACACCAGCCACCCCCATACCCGGAAACGGGGGCGCAGACAGTAGCAGAGCGCACGAGGGCGCGAGCACGAGGAACGAGCAGCAACAGGCACGGGCAGCACAGGCACGGGCAGCAACAGGCACGGGCAGCACACGCACTCGCAGCACAGGCACGAGCAGCAACAGGCACAGACAGCACAGGCACGGGCAGCACAGGCACGGGCAGCACAGGCACGGGCAGCACAGGCACGGGCAGCACAGGCACGGGCAGCGCAGGCACGGGCAGCACAGGCAACGGGCAGCACAGGCACGGGCAGCACAGGCACGGGCAGCACAGGCACGGGCAGCACAGGCACGGGCAGCACAGGCACGGGCAGCACAGGCACGGGCAGCGCAGGCACGGGCAGCACAGGCAACGGGCAGCACAGGCACGGGCAGCACAGGCACGGGCAGCACAGGCACGGGCAGCACAGGCACGGGCAGCACAGGCACGGGCAGCACAGGCACGGGCAGCGCAGGCACGGGCAGCACAGGCAACGGGCAGCACAGGCACGGGCAGCACAGGCACGGGCAGCACAGGCACGGGCAGCACAGGCACGGGCAGCACAGGCACGGGCAGCACAGGCACGGGCAGCGCAGGCACGGGCAGCACAGGCAACGGGCAGCACAGGCACGGGCAGCACAGGCACGGGCAGCACAGGCACGGGCAGCACAGGCACGGGCAGCGCAGGCACGGGCAGCACAGGCAACGGGCAGCACAGGCACGGGCAGCACAGGCACGGGCAGCACAGGCACGGGCAGCACAGGCACGGGCAGCACAGGCACGGGCAGCACAGGCACGGGCAGCGCAGGCACTAGCAGCACAGGCAACGGGCAACACAGGCACGGGCAGCACAGGCACGGGCAGCACAGGCACGGGCAGCACAGGCACGGGCAGCACAGGCACGGGCAGCACAGGCACGGGCAGCGCAGGCAAGGGCAGCACAGGCAACGGGCAGCACAGGCACGGGCAGCACAGGCACGGGCAGCACAGGCACGGGCAGCACAGGCACGGGCAGCGCAGGCACGGGCAGCACAGGCAACGGGCAGCACAGGCACGGGCAGCACAGGCACGGGCAGCACAGGCACGGGCAGCACAGGCACGGGCAGCACAGGCACGGGCAGCACAGGCACGGGCAGCGCAGGCACGGGCAGCACAGGCAACGGGCAGCACAGGCACGGGCAGCACAGGCACGGGCAGCGCAGGCACGGGCAGCGCAGGCACGGGCAGCACAGGCAACGGGCAGCACAGGCACGGGCAGCACAGGCACGGGCAGCACAGGCACGGGCAGCACAGGCACGGGCAGCAACAGGCACGGGCAGCACAGGCACGGGCAGCAACAGGCACGGGCAGCACAGGCACGGGCAGCACAGGCACGGGCAGCACAGGCACGGGCAGCAACAGGCACGGGCAGCACAGGCACGGGCAGCACAGGCACGGGCAGCAGCAGGCACGGGCAGCACAGGTACGGGCAGCACAGGCACGGGCAGCACAGGCACAGGCAGCAACAGGCACAGGCAGCACAGGGACAGGCAGCAAGGGCACGGGCAGCACAGGGCAGCACAGACACGGGCAGCACAGGGCAGCACAGGCAGGGCAGCACAGAGCGTACCGGGTCCAGGGGTGGTAGCTGCTGCAGGCGCTGGCGGCGGCTGCTGCTGCAGGCTCTGGCGGCGGTTGCTGCTGGCTCTGGCGGCGGCTGCTGCTGCAGGCTCTGGCGGCGGCTGCTGCTGCAGGCCTGGCGGCTGCTGCTGAAGGCTTGGCGGCGGCTGCTGCTGCAGGGCGGCGGCGTCTGTTGCTGCAGGCCTGGCGGCGGCTGCTGCTGCAGGGCGGAGGCGTCTGCTGCTGCAGGCCGGCGGCGGCTGCTGCTGCAGGATCTGACGGCGCCCCGCGGGTCCCGCACGGACGTCGCGACGAGCAGGGGCGACGCCTCGCGGGTCCCGCACGGACGTCGCGACAAGTAGGGCGGCGCCGCGCGGGTCCCGCACGGACTTCGCGACGAGCAGGGCGACGCCGCGCGGGTCCCGCACGGGCGTCGCGACGAGCAGCGGGGAGGGCAGCGCGCAGGCCCCCCGAGGGCGCTTCGAAGGACGGGAAAACCGCCGCGCGCCCCGAGCGCACGGCGGGATGAAAAACTCCGAAATCCTAAAAAAAATTTCGGAAGGAAGAAGGACTGCAGGAAGAAGGACTGCAGTGGAAGCATAGGGGCCCACAGGCCAAGGTAGAACGGGCTCTGATAACATGTGAAAATATTAGGTGTGGGGCCTAGGCTTAGTAGCCTAGGCCCACACTAGGAGGTAGGTGAGTTCGAGTAAGTTTCTCCTAGGGGAGAGTATCGAGAGATTTGGAAGGGAAGGAAAAAGGTGTGAGTAGCAAGAGTTGGGATACACAAATAGAAAACCCTAAAGGGTTGTACTCAGTATTGAGCACCCCAATGCAGGCTAGACAAATAACATTCTGACATCATGATAGGGTCTTGCAATTTCCAAGCGACAAGATACATGGGAAAGGGATGTTCTGGATGTTCCTCATGTTCAAATGGGACTGAACTTCTACGAAATCAAGCTCGTAGCGAAGGGAAAAGACCCAAAGCCACGATATATAGGCTGCCATCAGTTTGATCATACCAAATTAAGTCATCAGACCAGCCATTCTCAAGCTGCCATCATCGCCGGTCAAATCTGAGCCATCCCTGAACTCTCCTTTTCGCTACAGAAAAAAAAAAACAGAATGTCTTGCCAACGCTGCTGGCCTACAGACTTTCCTTCACAAAATCAATTTGTTCAAATGCAGACAGTGAAGACATTATGCGATGGAGTATGCTGTTTTAAGCGCTGTGCATGCACAGCTGTGTCAGGTCATAGTTGTATCCTGCTGTGCCTGTCAAGTCGCTACAAGGTGCGTCCCAGGCAGCGATCCCTTCTCTTCAGTATGAGTCGGAATAACTCAACCATTTTGTAAGCTGCTTGGTGATCAGAATCATATTGAACCATTTCGACCACTTTGTACACGAGAGCATTGCCATGCACTTCTTCACCAACATGGTCTTGGGTATGGAAGCGTTGTTGGTGTTTACAAGTGTCTGTGTGCACAATTGGCACACCACCATGCTCCGCTAAGCAGTGTGCACGCTCACAAGTTTCAACTCTTTCTCGTGTCCTGCTATGCATTTCCACCACCACTAACATTTTGTAATGTTTATCCCTTCGTGTTGCTTCTGAATGTCCATATATTTTCATGTTTGTGTGAGGCTCAAATCATTGCCCGCTGTTTTCTCTTGTTAAAAGGGCTGTTTTTTGCAGCACTGTTTATATAGTGTGCTGTTTTTCACTAGGAATATTTTCTTGCTGTATTCAATGTTTCTTTCCACCCATAAACCCTTTTGTATGTTGTATCATCAGGATTCTTAACCACAATTTTCTGAGCGGGTCTATTCCATCTGCCATCGGCAACATGAGAAACCTCGTTTTGTTGTGAGTATCATGAAGGGAATAGGAAAGAGAGCCAACATAGCCTCGCACAGGTTCAGAAATTAGAGGGCCTGCAATGGCAACACCAAGTCAACTTGATTTGAGAACGAGCATACATGCTAAGCATGACCACTGTACACGCTCACAAGTTTCAACTCATTCTCCTGTCCTGATATGCATTTCCACCACCACTAACGTTTTGTAATGTGTATCCCTTTGTGTTGCTTCTCAATGTCTACATATTTGCATGTTTGTGTGAGGCTCAAATAATTGCCCATTGTTTTCATTCGCTTATACTTTTTGAAAGGGCTACTTCTTGCACACTGTGCTATATAGTCGATGGTAACGTTTAGCACCTGTTTATCAGGCATCGTTTAGAATAGGTAGCTTGTATCACAATCATATTTCACCATGTCATGAGTTCTTTAGTCCTTCTTGTTGTTTGATATCAATCCTCCCTCTCCTACTATTCAGTTGATTCATTTGTTATTCTTGATTGAATTTCATGGCACCTTCCCATGTGCTTGGTAACTAGTGTTTCGCCGTATCTTTTTTTAACACATTTGAAGCCCTTTATATGTAATCTTACCACTCGTAAAACCCTTCGCATGTTTTACCATAAGGTATCTCAACCACAATGCGCTGACTGGGTCCATTCCATCCACCATCGGCAACATGACAAACCTCAAAAACTTGTGAGTAACATCAAGAGATCATAAAGAGAGCCAACATGACCGCTCACATGCTCATAAATATGAGGCCCAGAGCTGGCAGTTAAGAAAACGTCTGGTCTTTGCTCAACTTGACACAACTCCCAACTCGACTTCCACTCGAAGTGACTTGAATCGACTCGACACATGAGCATGTCTGACCCACGTTGTACCTATCCCAGAAAGGGAGACTCCAGAAAATGCATTTGCATTGAAGAGTAAACAGCTTCGACTTATTCAAACCGTAACCCACATGTGTCCAACGCGACTCATGAGTCGGGTGTTGTGGGTCTCGGTCGGACAGGAACAGGATTTTACTGAAGACCAGAACCTAGCAGGACTTATTGTAGTTGTCATAATCTTCCCAACGTGGGGTTTGACTAGCTTGATCCTAGGCTTGTTCAAAATGTGGATTCACACCTTAGTTTATCAGTTTTAAGGGTGAACTGGGGCCTGCCCTTGGCTATGACTAATGAGAGGGGTTGCAATGCAAGCATGAGCAGCCTAACAAGTGGTTCGTGCCTTTATGCACTCTTGCTTTGATACTTCAACATCACTCTTTCCCAGGTTTACGTGAGCATGGTTTTCAGCCATGCCTCAGGACAGCGTAAGGAAGTCATAATGCATGCAGTGTGTAACACAATGTCGGGTCACTTGAGCTCATTGAGAGATCTTGTACTGGCTATAGGTTGGAGGTATATATAAAACCAAGTGCCGAATTGTGACTTCTTTGGTTTAACCTTCTTCCGCCCAACAAACATCCTATGTTGATTTTGGAATGTGTTTTGCCTGGTTGGCAAATATCTCACATGAAGCTGGTTATGCATCTCATGCTTGACTGGACTCTGTCACGTTGGGTGAACAAAAATCTTTATTGCAACTTATCCATGTTGACCTGGAATAGCCTAATAAGATGTGCGTCCCCTGCCACAATCCACGGCTTTTCCATCTCCTCTGACTGTCTCCTAACATCAACCAATCTTTGGTTTATTCCTTTGTGTTTCCATCCCTGTACAGGTAAAATCTCTTGCATGTATGCACGGTTAGGTATCTTGTTAGCAATGCTTTGACCGTTTCCATTCTGTCTTTTATCTGTTGTTTCCATCCATTGCAGTGACGTCAGCCAGAACAACCTCACGGGCCAACTCCCTCCAACAATAGGCAACCTCGAACTTCTTTCATACCTGTAAGGCACTTTAGCATTGTAGAAATGCTTGAGAAATATGTCGCGTAACCGAAGCGAGGCAAGCGGATACAAGCAAAACATGAACCAATTGACAGAATTCGAAGAGGGCTAGCTTGGAGGCGACTTGGGCTGGTCCAAGTGAGGAAACTGTTCCCCAATGGACTTGGGGTGCCAAATGGATGCTTAACTCACCCACAGTCGAGATAGGGATGTGGGTAACACTCAAAGTTTGCCAAAGCGCGTTTCCAATGTTGGACTTCGTGGGTCCAGGCTGGAACCGCGTACTCAAGGTCGAGAAACATGCTTAATTGGGGTACCTAGCTATTGATAAAATTTACTCGAGGAACACCCTATAACTAATATGACCAAACCTTAATGTCTACAGTAATTCTATGTACACAGGATATGTAATTAGACATACACAGGATACATGTTAGACACAAACACGAGGGCAAGCACCTGCTCGGTGCGCCTCGAACATATTTTGTTTTTGTGGCTCAACGTGTTCAGGTCGAATATGTTCGTGTTCGTTTCAACATCCCTTTCCGATGAACGCAAATCTGCTCTTTCAAAAAGGTTGATGAAACACACTAATCAAGCTCATTTTTTAGCTCGCCTTTTTTCCCAACCCTCCTTCCACAGCCTAGACTGTAAGCTCCAGCAGCTAGGGTACCTAGACTCTAATGAAATAGTTGTGGTGGAACAAAAATCTACTTGTTTTATTTCCTTCACTCCCAAACGTCCACCAAGTATAGCCACACCAACCTGGATGCCAAAATCCACCATCCAGGATCATGTGTCTTGAAGACTGCTGATATGGCCAACACGAACATGTTCGCCCCAAACATGTTCGTTTTTGGGCAAACATCAAGGTGTTCACCTCCCAAAGGGGAACACCCGAACACCTTCCTCCACCTTCCTCCCTGGAAGTGTTCGGGCGAACACAAACATGTTCGGTACGCTGAACATGCAAGGCAAACACGTCACCTTCAAGTTCGCCCCGAACATGTTCACTAGCCCAGAATGTGCATGTTCAAGCTCAACTTTTCAACATCCGTGCACTAGCCCAGGATGTGTAGAATGGGCTACTATTTATGATATGGGCGGCGGTTTCAGCAAGTTTATATTTCCAGCTGGTTTCTTCCCTAAATGCCCTAAACACAAGGCAAACACGAACATGTTAGCCCTGAACATGCTGGGCCAGAAACAATCAAGTGTTCACCCTTGTGCTCATGTCTACTTGGCATGGTAAAGTATTACAATGTCTTACCATAAATCTCAAATACCAACCTCAAAGCGCTTTAGTTAGAGCTGAAACCCATTCCCGATCCATAGTTTGAAAACGCTCCATATGCAGCTGCGGTCACATGCTCCGTTCGAGAACCCGTTTCGCATGCAGGAACATATCCTCGACTGCAATCACATGCCCACCTGACTACAGCAGCTGCGTGGTCCCACAGACCAATTCAAGTGCTTTTTGCAGCCAGTGCGGCTCCTTCTGCACCACATGTGACAAGCCACCACCAGGTAAGGCTAACCTTATGCAGGTGGCTGCTGCTTTCACAGCCCATTTTTGCTTTGCTCTCATTAGCGCTAAGAGGATGAACAGTGCATAGCCACCTACTTAGCTAGCTTTTCCACTGTCAGGTGCGGTAACAATTACAGCTTCGCTACTCCTCAATATGTGTTTCTGTTGTATGCATCCTCATGACTTTTACTGAAGAATACGTGTTTCCATCCTTCATTGCCTTCCTTTGCTTCCTCCCCCCATGCAAACTGTGCCTGATGCCACATCCACTTTCACCAAGCCAACCGCCATCCTCATGTTTGATTGCCTCTTCCCTTCCCTCGCTCTGTCTTTCTACCCCATAACTGTACCCTCCCCATCATCAGTGCCGAAACCCTCCCCGTCGCCAGTGCCAACACCCTCCCCATCGCCAGTGCCAACACCCTCCCCATCCCCAGTGCCAACACCCTCCCCATCGCCAGTGCCAACACCCTCCCCGTCGCCAGTGCCAACACCCTCCCCGTCGCCAGTGCCAGCACCCTCCCCGTCGCCAGTGCCAACACCCTCCCCGTCGCCAGTGCCAACACCCTCCCCGTCGCCAGTGCCAACACCCTCCCCGTCGCCAGTGCCAACACCCTCCCCGTCGCCAGTGCCAACACCCTCCCCGTCGCCAGTGCCAACACCCTCCCCGTCGCCAGTGCCAACACCCTCCCCGTCGCCAGTGCCAACACCCTCCCCGTCGCCAGTGCAAACACCCTCCCCATCGCCAGTGCCAACACCCTCCCCATCGCCAGTGCCAACACCCTCCCCATCGCCAGTGCCAACACCCTCCCCGTCCCCAGTGCCAACACCCTCCCCATCGCCAGTGCCAAACCCCTCTCCACCTCCTCCAACAACATCTCCCAGTGAGCCTACAGCCTCTCTCTCCCAAACTGGAGGCGGTTTATCCGGCGGAGCCATTGCTGGCATTGCTGCTGCTGGCACTGTGGCTGTCCTCGTGCTGTTGGTGCTGCTGACCTGGCTTCTGTGGAAGCGATACCGCACCAAAGGGGCAGTAGGAGGAGACAATACTAGCACCAATGTGGATGGCAAGAAATCAATCAATAACATTTTGTTTCAAGGTAAGATATTTACGTAGATGCTGAGCCTAGATGAAGCAATAACAAGGCAAACGCCAGGCAATCGAAAGAAAATTAGAGTATCATCAAAATCAGAAGATCATAAAAAAATCCAAGAGTAAAAGTAACAAATGCATGTGCAATTTCTCACCATGGAACAGTCCAGGTCCTCCCAGATTTCAAGCCTTCTTCTTGGTTGGGTCTGACTCATGAGTTTTGGGTTAAAGACTCAGAATCACTGGTCCGAACCTTATTTTTGGGTTGCGGCGCAAAACCCCACAAAATTGCATGTAATGGCACTGTCTTTTGCCTGCCGCTCAATGCAAAATAGTCATGAGGAAATGAGACAACCAGACTGGCTAGTTTTGTTTTTTTTTTTTGCAGAATGTGAATCGCCTAGTCCCAAGTTCGGAATAATGGGTCTGGGTCGAACTGGGCAGGTTTGGTTCCAGTTGAATGATCAAAATTCAAGCTGGATATCTGGATTGGGGTTCATTGCCATGGTATCACACAGCCACACAGGTATGGTGTTGAGATGGAAGTACAAAAAGTTGGCGAAACAGTTCACCATGGATGTGACAGAATTCACCTTCTTGTAGAAATTCATCCAGCCTTAACCTCGACTTGTCAGGAATCAATGAATGAAGCAATGGTGCTTGCTGGTCCTTCCTGGGTCATTAGCAATCCAGCGTAGGTGGTTTAAATTCCCAGACCCCTTGAATTATCGGTCTTCTCTTTCACGTTCACCATCTTTTTCATCTCTTTGCAGTACCAAATAATGAGGATGAGGACCCAGCAGCAGCGGAAGGGGAGGCCGCGGCAGCTGCAGCAGCTGCCGCAGCAGCGCTACCATTACCAGCAGTACAAGGGATGCAGGGTGATGATTTTGTGGTGGAGATGGAGGCAGCACGGCCATACGTGTGTCGAGAGTACTCTTTGGCAGAGATGTCTAAGGCCACAGGAGATTGGGCAGAGGGGAACAGGATAGGAAGTGGTAGCTTTGGGGATGTTTACAAGGGTGTGTCACCCCACGATTGCAATCAAGCCTGGGCAGTCAAGCGAGCTCGAGTGCTCACGAACGACTTCCAAAGAGAGGTACCATGGTGTGAGTTTTTTTTTATATGTTAGTGGCACGTTTCTCATTAGTTTCTTCTACCAACCCCAAGCATAGCTGGTGGTCTGATGATTCAATCTCCTTCGATATGTTTACTGTTTTCCCTCTCAGGTGAAGGAGATGGCAAGCAAGCACCATCCGCATCTTGTGCGTCTTTTGGGCTATTGCATCGACTTCGACCTCTCCACACGACTCATGGAGCAGATCCTCGTTTACGAGTTCATGCCCAACCACGACCTTGAGAGCTGGATTGGTTCTGGTGTCTCCCATCCTCTTTCGCTTCGTCAAAGGCTTGACGTTCTGATTGGAGTGGCAAAGGGGTTGCACTATCTTCATGACTTCGGCATTGTGCATCGCGACATCAAACCTGCCAACATTCTCCTTGATGCAAAGATGCAGGCATGTCAATATTGTGGTAGGCCTTGATGTACATGGTGAAAGATGCCTACTCGCATCCATCGCTTAGCAACTATCATGTGGTGTTTTGCATCGCCTCGCATTCTCTGAATCTCTCACATCAATGCTCTTGTTGTCCATGGGCAGGCCAAGATGCAGACTTTGGACTTGTGAAGCTTGGTGGGGGCACTGCTATGGGCACGTCTGTGGCTGCCACTCGAGTGATGGGAACACCGGGCTATGTGGACCCTGCGTATTTCAAGTCTCATAAGGCCACTCCAGCAGCAGATGTGCACAGGTGAGCAGATTGGCACAGGTGAGCAGATTGGCAGCTGCTGAAATTTGCCCGTGACGAACACGAACAGTGTTCGAGGTTCGCCCGAACACGCCGGCACAGGCGAACAGCGAACACCTGTTTTTTCCTAAACTGTTCGCCGATCCGAACAGTGTTCGGTCCGGCAAAAGAGGGTGTTCGACAAGGGGCGAAGACGAACATGTTCGTGTTCGCCCTTTGCTCATCCCTAGAGCAGATTGGCACAGGTGAGCAGAGTAGGTTATGCTAGCAAATCCATGCAAGTTATAATGGCATGAGAAAACAGTGAAGGTTAGCAGATGAGCACTTTGGCATGAGAATACTGTTCAAGGAGGCTTCCAAATTTGATGAGAAATGCTCATGAGTTTCATTTCTTCTAGGGAAGATAGGGTTTGGGTTTCGGGCTTGCAGTGATTTCTATGTTTCCTTTACCTCACACCCAAAGAAGGTCCATGCCTGACATTGAAGCCATTTCCAGGCGTTCTTACCAATCGAGTAGCTTGGTGATGCTTGGTGATGAGGCTTGCGTGACGATCACTTGTGGAATGATTAGGAAAACAAATTTCATTGTGACCATAAAGCTTTTGTACATCTGAGCGTGATTTCAAGTATGATGCCTTTGTTTATTGATGGGTTGCAGTTTTGGCGTGGTGATGCTGGTGGTTATCACGGCGCGCAAGGCTGTGCATGTAACAGAGGAAAACCAGATCAATCTCAAACAATTGGTAAGAGACAGAAGTGTATCATGCCAAGGATGGCAGATCTTGTAACACAACGTATGAGAAAGCCAGCTGCACTGCGTAGTGAGTTTGCTTGATAATATCAATGTTTCCTTGTTGCCCTTAGCCAAACATATGTAGGCCAATTCATGTTCTCCTTACCTCCATTCCCAACAGGATACATGCTGCAATGATTAAGACGAGCACTTACCTTTGAATCACACCTTGTATCTGTAATAGGATTCACCTTCCTATCATCCTGCTTTCTATGTAGCACTAATTTCCTATGATCATAAATCATTCCATCAATCTCTGCGTTGCCACATTTCTACCATTCTTCACAGGTTTTATTTTAATGTGAAACTCTGTGAACATTTTGTATCACCAAATTCCATGTAATGTATGCATTTAACCTCGCACGTGGCCCCGTTGGTGGACTCCGGTGCTGTATTGGCATTCAAGGACCCTCACTTGGACGCACCAGATGACTTGGTGCTGCGCTGGGCTCGCCTTGCCCTCTCCTGCACCGCCATGCCTGCAGCCTCCCGCCCCTCCATGAATCAAGTGCTTTGGGAGCTGGTGAAGTTGAAGCAGGAGGCGTCCGGAGCACACGAGGGCCATGTGGGCGACGCCAAATCTCGCATTGACATGGAGCTTGGGAGCTCCATTGGCTCCTCCAGCTTCACTGCTGAAATGGCCCGTGCGGAGCGCGAGGGGGGCATGCCAAGTGGCTCTTCCACGTAATCATGTTTGTTCTCACATGCAGCTTACTGGTTTACCTTGTGCTTCTGATGCCAATTGTTTGCTTCATATGAAAACATGGTATGGGACACTTAGGAACACTGACGGAGGCTGTGGAAGGGATACTGGTAGCATCTTTTGATGAGCACAAAAATGGGACAGGAAAATTGGGCTGTGTAGTACACTGTAGCTTCGGCTTGTCCATGGGCCAGATTTTATGCTTGTCACCTTCCTGAAACTTTTAGCTGTTGCATGCATGATTTTCTGGATTGTGAATTAGATTCACGTTTAGGGTTGTTTTGGGGTTTTTAGACAGATAATCGCTCTTCAATCATCAAGCTTGAAAAGCTAAACATTCCTCTGTATATCCCCTATCCCTCTCCCCACTCACATGCCGCCTCTCCTCTCACACCAGCACTCCTTTCATACCCACCACTCCTCTCATACCCACCACTCCTCTCATACCCACCACTTCTCTCACACCCCCCTATCCACTCTTACCCCCCACCCATACCATTCCCCAACCCCAACTCCTACCGTCATCGCCCAGATAGTAGACATATATGTCTTATATCGTACACGGGCAAAAATGCTGGGTTTGTCTTGTATTTGGGACGATTTAGGGTGTCTTATAACTCTTATAAATGGAGAAAGAACTGTTTAGAAGATACCCCCTCGCTATAAGATTGCCCCTAACCTCTACACTGGCTTAACGCGTACACACAAATAGGTGTCTTATAATGAGGCGAGCTTGTTTATAAGAGACACCCCGATAATAGACAACCCCTGTCTACTATTCAACACTGTCTTCTTACTGGGCAATGACGGTATTATACCCCCCACTCCTCTCATAAACTCCCTCCTTTCGTAAACCCCACTTCTGTCATGCCTCTATATTCCTCTCATGCCCCTAAACTCCTACCATACCCCCTCTGTTACTCCTCACTCCTCTTATATCCCCCACTCCTCTCATACCAGCCTCCTCTTGAATCCCCCACTCCTCACACATCCCCTCTTTTCATAACCTTCACTCCTTTCAAACCTCCACTCCTCTGATAAACCCGGTTCCTCTCATACCCCTCACTCCTCTCATACCCACCATACCTCTATGCCCCCCATTCCTCTCATACACCCCACTCACATCATAACCACCACGATTCTATTACCAACCATGCCTCTCATACCCCCCTCTCCACCCATCTCCCCACTCCTCCCATACCCCCAATTCCTCTCATGTCCCCAACTCCGTTTACACACCCCAATTATGTCATAGACCCCACTCCTCTCATACCCCCCACTCTTCCCAATCATTTTATTCCAAGTAGTCGCTGTTTCTTATGGTCTTGCTTTCTATGCATGCGCTCCTGCATTGAGCCTTTGGACTCCTGCACCATTGTCTCGTCCACTCCCTCCATGCACGATGGATATTTTGGATTAGAAGAACCTGTGCAAGAGCAAGATGCTTGCGCTAGACTTCTAGTGCTGTTTTGAAATTATAAAGCCTGTTCATAAAAAGTGCTACCGTACCGACCATAAGCTTCATAGATATTTGTGAATTGTGCATAGAAAAATGGTGTCTTCGATTAGATCTCCTAGCCTGATTTGTCACTGACTGTGCTCACACACGTGACATCTTCCAAGCTAACCAATTTGTAACATTTCTGATTAATTACTCTCTATTCTAGATGAAAACACATCATTCAAACAAGGCACTGCAGATGGTTGTGAACCATTTTAATTTGGAACAGTGCAAGTTACTGTGTTGTGGAATGGATGGAGCATGCACAGTCCAAGGTTAATGAAATCTTTATTGATACAATTTGTAGTTTGAACCATAATGTATCCTTGCAGCTTGACTACGAACTCAGCCTTCAACCGCCAAGAAATCATGAACGTACGTTTATCATGGCAGGAAAAAAGGCAGGGAGGTGAGGAATCTGAATGCTAAGAAGTAGGGCACACTTTCTAATAATGTACCTAACCTCTCATGAGAGCCAGTTCAGCATCGAGAGTCCCCTGCTCATTGTTCTGGGTGCCAATCTTGGCCTTGTAGCTGCTAAATATGGCTTGTTGGGGCTAAAGCGCCAATGGTACGTAGGTCAGTTGGTTGCTGACGGTAGGGTGGGGGAGGACTAAGGGTAGTGTGGGAGATTGTGGGTATCTCGTGTTTGTGGAAGGCATGGCCCTGCATCATACCTGCACCCACGACTGGCCTCAGACTGACATGAGGCTGACATGAGACTGACCAGAAACTGACCAAAAGACTGACCTGTGTTTGACCTTAGACTGACCTGAATTTGACCTTATTTGACCTAAGACCAACCTGAAACTGATACGAGACTGACCTGAAATTTACCTGAAATTGACCTGAGTTTGACCTGAGAGTGACCTGAGAGTGGCCTGAAAGTGATATGAGACTCTCATTATGAGAGTTTCTAGAGCGATCTGAGTGTGGCCTGAAAGTGACCTACGACTGACACAAAACCTTCTCCCCCCATGTACTTGACTGGCGAAGCTAAAGAAGGCATTGAACACAAAGGGTGTGCTACACGGGCCAGGGTTGTCGATGAAAAGGAAGAGGCAGATGGGCGCTGCACTGTGCTGCTCCTGACGTGTTGCTGGTGGGGGGCGTGAGGATGATGGTGCCATTGAATAGTTGCGCTGCTGCACCTGCCAGGGAGACTGCTGTTGTCTGTGATGATTTGGTTGAAGGGAGAATTGCAGGGTTATCCAGAGCGAGGCAAGGCAGATGGGTGCAAACGGAACGGAAGAAATATGCTTGGATGTAAATAAATCAACACCAGGAGTTCGAGAGGTTTCAACTGCGATGCAGCTGTAATGGTAACAATTACGAGGAATGAGCAGGGTATGCAACGCAATCAAAGGGCACAACAAGTGAGTGCCATCTGCTTCTTACACCAGATCACTCAGTCTCTCCCAAAACTTGTGTATACACACCACTGTAGGAGCACGAGGGCAGTCCGGCCTGGTTGTCGAAGTTGCTATCGCAGGTGTATACTGATTCCTGCACAGACTCACTGAAGGAGCACATGCCATGCCCGCTGCACAGGGGTTGGCAATCCCCAGCAGCAACCCCACAGAACGCACCACACTCCTCTGCACTCCTCTGCTCCAAGTAGTCTCCAGGCGCCCGGGATGCGTTGAGCAGACAATGCTCAAAGGCGTTGCCAAGGTAGGTGTGGTTGGCCTCGGGCGGGATGATGGTCCGTGGAAGAAGAAGTTGCGGTGGGTGTAGGGTAGGTAGGGCGGGAACTGGTTGGCTGCAGGTAGGGCGACAGGGGCAATGGCAGTCACCCTGTCACTGGTTGGCTGACATGTCACTGTAAAGAAGGGGGGGCGAGGGCAGGGAGAGCCAAGGCGAGGAGTGGGTGGGAAAATGGCGCATGAGCGGGGGTGTGACAAGAGTGGGTGAGAAGTGAACACGCACAGGGTGGTGCAGAGGAAAGATGCAGTGTTCTGTTGGAAGAATGTGTTTGATGCTGGTCAGCAATTACCAGCGCGCAAGCAGATGAGCCTTGAACATACAGATAAACCATCGGACCAAAGGAAGGGGCTTGGTGTAAACCATCGGACCAAAGGAAGGGGCTTGGTGTAACAAGCATTTTCAGTCCTATTTGTAGTCCTCCTTCCCAATCCAATGCTCTCTTAGAATGGGCTCTTTCAGGACCCCCTCAACACACCAAGGCAAGTAACAAATGGCACATGGCCCATTGGCACATGGGACCTGGGACATGGCAAATAGCACATGGTGCATGCCATATGCGATTCCCCTCATGCACGTGCAGCGTGACAAGGCTGGTCATATTGCGTGTGATGCCAGAGAGGACGTTCCTGTTCAGGTAGCTGGAAGAAAGCACATCCGAAGACAACTCGTGAACGCGGTGTGCATGGCATGGCAGCACTTGGACTCCCATCTAGCAGGGTTGAATCACTCAACTTGAGTGCGCTTCCTAAGGCCCTCAGCGGAGGTAGCATGGAGTGCTGTTGTTGCATGCAGTTGCGTTGCATACAAGCATGATTTCAACTACATGTCAAGGTTGGTAACTTGGATAAGTGTGATTAGACCAGACGCCAAGGGACACTGGATACAACAGCAAGCAGCCAGGGTGCACACACAAAAAGCCCAAGTTCTGAAGGAGAATGATCTGGGGACCGTGCCCCTGAGCCCCACACCCTCCAGCTACCTGAACCCACAGCGTGGAAGACGTCGTGTGCACACGTGATACATCACAGACTATGATGATGGAACGATAAGGGAGTCCTTGAGTGAACGAGAGAGAGAGCATTCTATTGCAGTCTGCATATATGTCTTTAACACGCAATGTCTCAGTACCTTTCTGATGACTCTTGTCCTCAAAGCTACTGACATAGACTGATGCCAAGCCAAGGAAACTCGGAATCATACGTGCACAGGAGATTGCACCGGCAACACACCAGGCAAGCAAGGCAAACACCAAGAGAGAAGCTACAGGGATGGGTTATGGTTGGCGAGATGTCAAGGTGACTCAGGGTTCCAATAGAGGGGCTAGGTTCCACCAATGTTTGACCGTGCCAGCTCCCTGTAAATACATGGCTTGATTAAACACTAGGTTGGGGATAAGAAAGGAGAGCATGATTTCAGCATGCTACACGTGTCTCCTATCGTGATGTGATAGGCCTGACAAGTAGCACGAGCGCTACAAACATCAGAGCGGACAAATGAGAGAGCTACCAGATAGTGGGTTTCGGCGAAATCCATTATCATAAACCACTGCCTCTGTCCTTAGGGCAGTGTCCTTATGAAGCAGGGGCCAAAACGGGGGAGTGGAGGTCTGTAGACTAAAATCTCGTTCTGGATCCGTACACTATGTTTCGGCTGTACCCTGTGCACACAATGAATCGCTCACAAGCATAAAAAATTGTCTATGATTGTATGTTGAGCCCTAAAGCTATGATGATTGGTGTCAAGCGTCTATTCAAGACATTACTAAGGCTGGAATACGGTCGGGAAAGAGGAATTTTCGGTGGAGCGGTGATTAGCCCAGAGATTGAAAAGAACACCGCACGCGCTCTCACAACTTGTGAGTCACAGTTCCACGAGCAGATTCTTGGCCCCATGCAGTGACAGAATGAACGGCGTACATACCGTACTCATGGTGACTGCATACATGCTCATGATGACTGCATACATCCTCATGATGACTGCATACATGCTCATGGTGACTGCATACATACTCATGGTGACTGCATACATACTCATGGTGACTGCATACATGCTCATGATGACTGCATGCATGCTCATGATGACTGCATACATGCTCATGATGACTGCATACATACTCATGGTGACTGCATACATGCTCATGGTAACTGCATACATGCTCATGATGACTGCATGCATGCTCATGATGACTGCATACATGCTCATGATGACTGCATGCATGCTCATGATGTATGCATACATGCTCATCAGTGTGGGTAGGGTGGAGATCTAATCAGGAATGGCGCCAGGGAAGTTGTTATTGTGCAGGTCGCTGCACGGCAGAGCACAGGATAGAGACAGTTTCTTTTCAGTCAGCGAAAAAGCACAGAGCTTGTAGTCGACTCTAAGGCAGAGCAGGGGAACAGAGGCAGTTGCATCGATCCATTTTAATCAATCTGACTTCTTTCAAGATTAGCTCGAGAAACATCCACACGGGCGCGTAAGTAATATTGTTGAGGGCTGCAGCGTCACTTTATCAGACTCAAGGGGGCATTGCAACATCGTTATCTTGACAGGAGCGGAGCTTCACTGCCTTGCATGCAGCAAGGCGAGGAGGACAGTCAGAGCATGGCATGGAAAAAGGAGAGCCGCATGGCGCTATGAGTGAACAAATAACACGTGTAGATGCAACAGCAGGGTGGGCGAGGCAATGGGGTGGCTGACAGGATATCGAGGGTGGAGATGGTGCTGAGGGCAGACTGCTGTCCACAGTGAACCCGTTGACCGAAAGGCTCCTGCACATGGTTACAGGGAATGGAATGGACCACTGGCGATGCGTTATGTGCCCCACTGAGCGCTACTGACAACGAGATACACATGCATGGGATAGCCTTGGTAAAAGCAGAGCCCAATATTCTTGCATGGTGCAGTGCTGAGTGCTAACGCACAAGAATGCATGCATGCACACAACGCCCTGTACATAGTCCGCGCTGCACCACAGCAATCCCCCTCCCATTCGTCTTTCAATATCTATCTGTTAGAATGTTGCATATGCTAGTCAATACTACTGTAAGTGATACACCCAATGTGGTACAATTTGGCTCAAGTAGCCCCAACCGATTTTGGTTGAGTGCTTCCCAACATTTTTGGACCGTATTTGTTGGGGGATCCCAAATAATGACTGGGCCATCTAATCAATTATTGCCCCCCCCCCCCCCCCCCCATCCCCCAATAATGTTGGCCAATCATTGCGTGGTCAACCTAATTGACCCACCAATGATGGTGTGGGCACTCATCCAATCTGCCCACCGTTTCCTTTCCTATGTTAGCCTATCTCTCATTTATCACAATCATAACTTGAGACTCTTTCACTCTGCACACGCAGTGGCCCCATGCCAGTACACCCGCAACCACTAACCCTCTACCCTCTTCGACCCAGTGACACCCCTCAGCAATTGAGCCTGCCCAGATCTCTCAGTGCAGTGGATATATTACAGTGTGGCGAGTTGGTTGAGGTGCGACAGATAAGGGACTCAGGCACGGATCAACTCAGCCAGTTCTGCGCAGATCACTCAAATCAGGTTGGTCAACAAGCTGATCAACTCAGCCGGTTCCTCCAGAGGACAGATGGTCAAGAAGGGATCCGAGAAAGGGAGAGAGCATGGGACTACCTGGCATGTGACACAAACTCATGCAATGAAACAGGGACAGAGCCAAGTAGTTGTGGGATGGATTAGGTAGGAGGGGTAAGGGTGGTACTGACAGGTAGGTGACACTGAAGGAGGTTGCTCATGTCATTTGGAGATGTTCAGATGATTCACTCTCGGCTTGCTGCATGCGTGGCGCACACATGGAGAAACAAGGGGATGGACGGGATACACGAAATGGGGTTGGATGGGGTTGGACGTATAAGGTTGGGGCAAGGAAAATGAACAATTAGGAGAGGGAGAGGGAGGGGAGACGTGGAAGGACTACAGATGGGGCAATGTACTGAGGTGAGGAGAGGGATGCCTGGGACGTTGATGGTGCGTCCCATCTGCCGCACTGCACACACGCACACATGACAAGACAGCATTCCGCGTTGCTTTTTCATCCGCCCTCGTCACAATCTTCCCTCTTATTTGTTCAGCACTCTCACTCTCAGTAGAGCCGCCCACCCGAACGCACCCCTGGGGCATAGCCAGTACCTGCACACGTTGCTGGCACGCCCCTGGCAAGCGGGCCGAGAGTACTCTGAAGGCACCCACATGCGCTGGAGCAGCACTCGCATGCGCTGGAGCAGCACTCACATGCGCTGGAGCAGCACTCACATGCCTCACGTACCAGGGAGACGACGTTGCCTGCGAGCGTCGCATGCGACGCCCTGCACGGTGGAGCAGTCGCTGCTGGCCGACCACGCCTGCCAGCCGCCCCCAAGCTGCCCCCACGCTGCCAGCACGTGCAAAACAGCTTGACTGCCAGCGAAGGCAGGAGAGGGTTGGACGCAGGGGGTGCAGCCGCGGGCTCACGGAGGTCAGCGGGCACGGTGGAGTGTGGGGGGAGGGAAGCAACGCGGGGAGGGGCATGGGGGCACGCAGGGACCGGAAGAGGGTTGTGCGACAGATGAGTGAGGGTTGTTGGGAGAGGGGATGAGAAGAGGGAGTGGAAGGAGGAAAGGGAGGGAAAGGAGGGAAGGCGGGGTGATAACAGGGTAGTAGCATAGGAAGGGGGGCATGGAGAGGCAAAGAGGGGGCAAGGAGAGTTGGAACGAGGAAGTTGAGGTGAGCTGTGCGTTCAGGAGGAGAGCGATTGATCGTTGCAGGACATGCGCAGCGGCTAGAGCGCTTCTGCGGAACGTGGTGAGAGAGAGTCACAGTGGCATTGGACAATCTCGCATCACCGCGCATCACCCCTGCATGTCACCTCCCCATACCGCCGCTTTATGCCCGCCCGCCCGCCCGGGCACACTCACAGTCTGCTGCCTGTATTTGCCACGCCACCACCAGCGTGCAGCTGGCAGAAGCAAGTGAGCAGCAGCAGTGGGAGAAGTGGGAGCAGGAGATGGGTCTGCGTTTGGTAAGAACGGCAGGGGGGACGAAAGGGAAGGGGGAGTGGAGGGAATGAAACCGGGAGAGGGGAGGGGAAGGCAGAAGCGAGGCAGAGGGAGAGGGACGGGATGCAGGAGAGGGAGAGCAACCCACTCCCCATGACTATACCCCCATCTTCCCCCTCCCCCCCCCCCCCCTCCCCCTCCTTTTCATTTCCTTCCCTCATATGCACCCCCTCGTGGCATATACCTGTCAGGGCTTTTTCCTTGCTTAGGTTGGCTGATGAAATCTTACCTTAGTTCTTTACGCTTGACTTTGCTGTACCACTTGTATTCAACGACAAGGATAGTTCGAGTGTTGGGGGGTGTGCATATGGGGCTGACTCAGTCGCTCTGCGCGATGATACACTGCGAGACGATACACAGTGTGACGATGCACTGAGCAACGATACACAGTGTGACGATGCACTGAGCAACGATACACAGTGTGACGATGCACTGAGCAACGATACACAGTGTGACGATGCACTGAGCGACGATACACAGTGTGACGATGCACTGAGCAACGATACACAGTGTGACGATGCACTGAGCAACGATACACAGTGTGACGATGCACTGAGCAACGATACACAGTGTGACGATGCACTGAGCGACGATGCACAAAGCAACGATGCGCTCCCCAAGTGACGAGGCACACGCACATACGCGGCACGTCCGTAGGGGCGGCTTCACGGCACTTAGCTTCCCCACCGACGCAGCCCCCCTAGGCATCGTGTGCCGCCGCCAGGTCCGCAGTGCGCTCTGCGTGGGGGAATGAGCTCTCTCGTGCTCGCTGTCATGCCACTGGGAAAGCCCGCCGCCGCCGCTACAATGACGCCAATCCTACTAAGGTACGCGTGAAACGCCGCTGCGTGCTCGCCGTTCCGAGTGGCGCCACGGCAGGACGGGGCGAGCACGCGGACGAGCTGCGCTACGGTCATCCTCCTTTGCGTCCAAGCGCCAAACTAAACCACGGGTTTGGCCCCGGCCATATGCCACGCCATCAGCTCTCGGTGACTCAAGGAGCCGACAGCCACCTGACCGTGGCAAGCCACGGCTCCCAGTCAGCGCGCCGTAGCACTAGACGAGCGCGCGACCCGTTATGGTAGTAACACCGCTCTTACTTTCAGGCAGAAGAGGGAAGAGCATGCAGGTAGCGCATTCTCGAGAAATGCAAGCGGCGCAAGTGCGACTTACCGTTGCCTGCACGAATCCTACTGCTGCGTGACGTGGCGAAATGGCGGCGAGCAATGGTGGAATGGCGACGCGACGTATCGAAATGGCGGCGTGACATGGCAAAACGGGGGCGCGACATGCGGAATTGGCGTGACATGTTGAAATTGGCACCCATCACGACGACTGAACCTGGTAGAACCGACAGCGAAGCACAGCGACCAATTTTTAGACGCCTAAATAATACACCGACAACGCACAGCAGAGCGTACTACTTAAAGCCTCGAACGTGAAAACGAGTGTGTGTGTGGATTCTGGTTTGCTTTCCACTTGAGCCGTGGCTCCTCAAGGCGATTAGGAGGGAGCATAAAGACCGCTGACACAGGTTGTTGCTTAGGTTCTATTTGCTGGAAGCAAACTTAGGGCGGGTCCAGCGCGTACGTTTACAGGTGCTATACAGTTCATTCGTCGTGGTTTTAAACGATATTAGGCGGTGCACAGCGGTTTTGAAATTGCACCGTTTTGAACCGTGACGCAGTACAGATTAACGCACTGGATGAACTGTAATGTACGGAAAACGTACGCGCTGGACCCGCCCTTAGGATGACCAAATTTGTTCAGGTCCCTTCGGCATTGTGCGAAGGTCCGAACATTGCGAGGTTCCGAGTTCGCAATAAACTGGCCAAAAAACTTACGATTGTCGAGGCAAAGGGTGTACGTCCGGATCGCCAGGCTCGGCTGGCGTTTTAGTTCCTAGGCGAGCCGTTTGGTGTGGGACGCGTGAAGTTCGGAGGTCTGTGCGTTCGGTTACTTTCTGGTCTGGAGACGACATTTTAGGGGTATTGTACGAATTCCCGAAGATGGTGGGGATCAGGCTCGGCCGATTTGACGAAGCCGAAGCTGATTCGCGTCGCTTCCGAGCCTTTTGTCCCCAACCCAAACCTTGCCACGGAAATATCGCCAAGCAAGGTTGTGCTCGTGTAAATGAAGGCTTGAATCACATATCGTCGTTTCCATTTCTCTGTTCGATGGTCATTACAGCCTCCAACCCTAAGTTTGAATCTTCTTGTGCCTACCTCACTTCCAGAAATCCACCTTCTCAAGCAGCTGTGCATCGATGGCGGTTTATAGTAGCTGTGCATGGAACCGTACCGGCTCTTTCCGTCCGCACCACGCATTGGTGGAATCGTCGCCAGCGTCTTCGTCACCGCCAATCCAATCTACCATGTGCACTCGCTCTCTATATTAGTTCTATCAATGGCCCCTGCTATCCTTTAATAGCTACCAATAGACATTATTTTCAAGTAGCAGCTACAGAAACGACCCGTCGTCGTGCCCATGTCGCCAGCTGCTACTACGTTGCGGCATTTCAGACTCGAGTCTACCTGATCCGATCATCGCTCTCCCCGCACCGCGCACTCCCGCCTTGCTCGGTGTGCAGCTCCCGCCGCTGCTGCTGCAAATGCTGCTGCGCACTCCCGCCTCGCGAGACGGCGCGCAGCTGCTGCTGCTGCTGCTGCTGCTGCTGCTGCACTTGTGCGACGCCGCACAAGTGATTCAGCCTTCCTTCGGCGGTCCCTGTTGCCTGCTCAGGCAAATCGCGACACCCATTCGCGGGATTTCTGAGATAGGATGGTGACTCGGCCGCATGCACAGGCGGTGCAGCGAGGCTGCCTCGGTCTGTTTCGGGCCTTTCTCTGAGGCGTCGAAGGTGCTGTGGATTTCGTGGGGAGGGTTGCAAGGACGGAGTAGTGCTGATGGTAAGCTGCAGCTCTCTGTGTTTCGCTGGGTATTCCCCGCATGGCGTCGCAGCAGCAAGACGTTTTGTCCGGTGCTTACATTAAAGATATTTACCAGTGACATGACAGATATGGGTTATTGGAGATTTCATGATGCATAAAGCAAAAAGCGAAGGGATGATGGTGCTGGGAAGCTCGGACAGATTCAGGAGGTACAGTTGTCGCATGCCACATGGCACAGGTTGTTGAAGCGTCATTCTGCCATCCACGTGTTGCAACAATTACTGTCGCTGCGATTGGTTCCCTGCGCTCCTCTCTCCCTATTCAACTCGCCTTGTCTCTCCCATTCTGCTTCTCCCCCCTTCCCCCCCGTCACCCTCTACCCTCCCCTTTTTTCCGCTCATATTGTCCTCAATCCCCGCTTCTCTGCTCCCCCACAGGCTGTGGTCGAAATCACACACGGGAAAGTACAATTCAGATCCCGAGCTTCACATGGCAGCTCGCCAACTTCTCTTGTGGCTTCGGATGGACTTGCATGACGAAGGTGAGAGTCGGTGACGGGCCTGCTGGGTAGGGGCGTGTGTGGATGTCAATTGAGGAAGCGGTGAAAAGGGGGGGAGGAGTGGGAAGAAGGGGCGTGGAGGAAGGGGGGAGAAGGGACGGAAAAGGGGGGGGAGGGGAGAGTGGGGGGGGGGGGGGGGGGGGGGGGGGGGTGCTTCCAGGGCTGGCAGAGGCCATAGAAGACGCCTGGGGGCTTGTTTGGTGGCAGCAGTTGACAAGCTAGAAATCTCCAAGGTTAGAAACATGTAGGGGCTTGGTTGGAAGTCGGTGTGGAGTGGGGGAGATGCGTGTAGGAACCACTCGGGTCACTCGTGGGTGGCGGTGGGAAGGGGGCAGTTGAATAGCTATCTCGGCGAGAGTTGCTGAGAGTCAGTGAAGAGTTGGCAAGGAGTCATTGTGAGTGGCTTTGGGATGGCTTTGATCGGAGTGGAGGGAGTTGATGGGCAGCATAGATGAGCTGAAAGGATGGTTGCAGCCAAGAGTGAATCTCATCCCCCCATCCCCCCTGCAAAAGCCTCCTCTCCTTTTAAATTTCCAATTACGTCTTCCCAACCAACTCCCTATTGCAACCTCCCCCCATCTCATCCGCTCAGCACCGCATGTGTGTATGCCACACTGCATTTTGATCCCCTGAATTCTGCCCTTACCACGCATGACATTTCTCGCTAATTCACTGCGTTCCCTACCACTTTCGCCTTTTCCCCTTGACCCTCTTTCCCCCTTCTCCCTTCCCCCCCAAAGCTCCGTTGCTCCTCCTCCACGGACCTACAGATTCACGCTTCTTTAGCACTGTCTCCCGCTTCCCTCCCTGCCCGCATCCTCCTCATCAAAGCACTGCTCCCCGCCTTTCTCCGCTTCACCTTATCTCTCCGCCTACTTCTCCTTTAGGGACTTCTGGCCCACAGGTTTGCATCCTCACAGCACTGTCACTCACATCCCTCTCATTAGCCACTGCCCCTTTTCCTTTCTTCTCTTCCCCCCTCTCCACCCCAGCTCTGTGAGCGTTTGCGCTGCAGAGAGCGCTCACGAGGGGGCGGGGAATGGGGACTGCTGATGGGGCTGGCGGAGGCTATAGAGGATGTGTTTGGTGTTGAAGATGGCGGGGCGGTGGTACGGTGGATATATCGCCAACCCCACAGGTCAGAGCGGTGAGGGGTGGGTATTCGTGTGAAAGTTGGCCAAGGGGACGGTGAGTGGGGGTTTGTGAAAGGAGTGGGGGGGAGGGGGGCTGAAGGGGGGTGAAGGAGGGGTTGCTGCTGGGGCGGGCGGAGGTCATAGGTGATGCGATGGGTGTCACCAATGGGTGGAAGGGACCTGGGGGGAGTTAACAGGCTGGATAATGCCCGTAAATGTGTATTCCACATCGACTTGTGTGCCCCTGACATCTGCCCCTACCACACAAGCACATTACTCACAAAGGCACTATCACTTCCTCCCACTTCTTCCCTTTCCCTTGACCTCTTTCACCCCTTCTCCCCTTTCCTTTCCAGCTCCGCACCTAGTTTTTCTACACAGACTCATAGACACACGCCCCAACGGGCACACCGCTCAGCTCTCCCAGGCGCTATCCCCTCCCTTCCCCATACCCTCTCGCTCCGCCTCTCTCTTCCCACCCCCCCCAGCTATGATGCACCTGTTCCTCCTACTCCATGTGTGGCCCGCGGACTTCTGCCACTTCCGTCGCCCACGCGCTGTCCCTTCCTCTCCCCTTCCCACCTCCCCCATCCCTTCCTGCCGTGTCCCCACCAGCTCCGCACAGTACCTGCTTCTCACGTACCGATTTCTGGCCCATAAATCCCCCACCTCTGCAACATGGGCGCACTGTTCACAGGGAACCCGCGGGCTTCCAAGTGCACTCCTTCCAGGGCTCCACCGCACCTTCCTCTCACCACCCTTACCCTCTTTTCTTTCCTCCTCCACTCCTCTCTTCACCAGCTTCACACCTGCCTCTCCTACACCCACTTCTGGCCTACTGAAACCACGCTCCTACGGTACTGCCTCCCACAATCCCCTCATAAGCCACTGTGTTGTTTACCCTCCCCCCCGCTCCTCTCACCCTCCCCCTTTCAGCCCCGCACCTGCTTCTCCCACGCCATCTTCTGCCCCACGGACTCCCCCATACCCACGGCACGGGCGCACTGCTCACCCAAGAAGAGGTTGCTGCCATGGCAGAGCTGCACGGGAGGCTGCAGGTGAAGCTGGGTGAGGCCCGGCTGCTGGGTTCCCCGTGGCGGTTTTTGAGGATGGCCGGGCAGAGGGAGGAGGAGGTGCGTCCGAAGTGAGCGAGGGGTGGTGGGCTGGGCTGTATGATGCTTCTGTGTCACTCGTAGATCACGGGTGAGGCGAAGCTGGTGGGAGGGGCGGCTGGGTCCCCCGTGGCGGTTTTTAGGAGTGACGAGCAGAGGGAGGAGGAGGTGCGTTCGGGAGTGAGTGAGGGGTGGTGGGCTGGGCTGTTTGAAACTTGTTTGTCAATAGTGGGTCACGAACAGATTACGGGTGAGGCAAGGCTAGGTGGGCCTGCTGTTTTCCTTGTGGTCATGTCCTATCTCAGGGTAGAGCAGCGGGAGAAGGCGGTAGGTGGTGAGAGGAACGTAGTCTAAGGATGGTTCACCAGCAAGTCACCACTAGCAAGCTTGTTGCATGCCGTCAGTTTTCGAGGACGAGCAGATGAGGCGAGGTTAGGCAGGGCTACTGGGTTCCCAGGGTTGAGCAGAAGGAGGAGATGGGCTGGTGAGGGGAGTATGGTCCAGTTGTGGGGTTAGCTACTGTTTCCGTACAGACATGTGCTCATGCCGGAGTGGTTATCGGGACAGACTAGAAATCTGTTGGGCTCTGCCCGCGCAGGTTCGAATTCTGCTGAGCACGAGCTCGTTTGTGGTGTAATGGGTTTTTTGAGGAAACCGTATCAGCGTCCATGTTACACTATTTTTTTTGTATCAGTATTGTTTTGCACTTCACAGTGCGACGTCACATCAAAGCACAGCGATTACTCTGATAACGTATTATTAATTGCCTAGTGGTCACCCTCTTTGTCTTGTTTTTGTGCTGTTCATTGGAAGAACTTGGGCATGACGATGCGACTGTCGCTCCACACAAGGCAGCGCGCTGGATCTGTGACGTCTGTCACACTAAAGTTTGTCGCACTGCCGTTTGTCGCACTGAGGTCTGACTCACTGGGGTGGGGTCTGTCGCTGAGGCAAGTCGCAGTCGCAGTGGGGTCTATTGCACTGAGTTCACTCACTTGAACTGGGGTCCCTCTATTGCTCGCATTAGGAGATAACTGCTCGCAGGTTGATCCATTGAGGCGCAGACTTGCACGCAAGGGGGAAAGAGGGAACGACAATCGATGTGCGAGTGGATTGGTCCGACAAAAACCTTGCTGCAGGTAGGATGGGAAATCACCATTGTTGAAGGGGAGAGGAGGGAACGAGGGGGATTCAGTGTGCACGTAGGTCGATCCGACAAGATTCCTCCCCACACCACTCACTCCGTTCCCCATCCCGCTCTCTTCGCGCTTCTTTTGGCGCCTCGAAAGCCCCTCGCCTCCCCGCGTCCCGCATTCTGCTCCCCATTGCAATCGCTGTGCATAAAGACGTTACCCTAGATCCGTGCTCTTTGTTGCTCTTAAACCATTCCGTCTCACCAACCACTTTACTCACCCTGCTTCCCATCCTGCTCTATTCTCGTCCGCGTTGCTCGCAGCATCAGTCCCTGTCGCGTGCCCACGGCACCCACTTCGCTCCCCATCCTGCTCTATTCGTGCAACGCCTGTGGGGCTTATTTGTATGGTTGAGTGCTTCCCCTGCGCCTCAAGTATATCCAGTGGGTAACTCCCCCATCCGCTCCTTGTCCCTTGGCAACTTGTTCGAGCGAGGGGGAGGGCGAGTGGGCACGGGAGGTGGCGGCGGCGGTGGCGCTACGGTGGCTGGCAGCACTGGGCGTGGACAGTGGGGAGGAGGGAGAGGGAGGGGAGGGGAAGGGGGAAGATGAGGGGAAGGATGAGGGGGAGGGGGAAGAAAAGAGCGCAAGGGAGAGGGGCAGCCACACTCGTGTCTGCACCTCCCAACCCCTCTCTCCGCCCCCAATGCCCTAATCTCACCTTCCTTCTCTTCCCCCCCAAACCCCCCTTTTCTTGCCCTTCCTTCCCGCTTCCCCTCCCTCCTTGTTTCCCCATATCCCCCCTCCTACCCCTTGCTCTCCCTGTCGCACCACTCCGTGCCGCCGCCCGCCCAAGTGAGCCCTGCAGCACCCGTGCCCGCCTTCTACTCCTTCTTGGGGCCGCGCCTGGGCGACGCAAGCGCCGCGGGCAGCGCAGGTAGACTGGCGGCGGGTGCAGTGGAGCAGCAGGGTGAAGTGGGGGCAGGCAGATGGAGGAGTGAGAGGCAGCGAGCATGGGAGGGGGCAGCAGAGGGGGCGGGCGAGGAAAGGGAGGAGGAATGAGGAGTCAAGAGCAGCAGAGGGGACGCGGATACTGGCGGCCGTGGTGGTGCTGCAGATGGTTGGGGGAGGGGGGAGTGTCCAGCACGTTGCTTTAGAAGTCGCTCTTCCCCTGCTCCTTAGGTGTGTTTCGCGCATGTGCGACTGCTGTGGCTGTCCCCCACGCAATGCCATATGACACCACGTGTCTGCAGTATCCGTAGCACCACTTTCTTCTCTGCTTCTCACATTCGTCCCACCAGCGCCTTGGCTCCCCTCTTTCTCCCCCCACTGCCTGTGTCAGGCCCGTTGCCTCAGCCTCTCCTCCGCACGCCTCGCACTAGCAGCATTAGCTCCTCTTTTGCGCGCCTCCCCTACACTACTGCCCCTGGGAGACGACTCGAGGGCAGCATGGGCAGGAGAATGGGAGGGAGGGGAGAGGGAAGAGGGGGGGGAGAGGGAAGAGGGGGGGGAGAAGGTGGGGGAGAAGGGGCGGGAGGGAGCATGAGCGGCAGTTTGATCAATACAGACATGCGCGCAGGCACAAGGCCGAAGGAGGGGGGGGGGGGGGAGAAGGGGACAGGGGCACCCAGGCATGGAGGAATTGTGGCGGCCAGCAACAAGAACAGGCAGCATAGGCAGCACGGGAAGCACGGGAAGCAGAGGCAGCATGATTGGGAGGAGCGCGAGCATGGAGGAGGGGCGAGCACGGCTGCTGGCAGCTGATGCAGCACTCACGGATGCCATTCTCACGGGCATGATCATGCCCACACCCACCTCCTCTTCCCTGGGCTTCCCCCAGTGCGCGCAGCATGGCAGCACCGCGACTGCCCATAATGGCGGTGGTGGTGGCATGGTGGGCAGCAGCGTGGATTGCAGTCACAGCATCAGTGTAGTGTGGCGATCGGGCGGCGCAGCCTTGACAGCAGCAGCAGCAGCGTGTGCTGCAGAGACAGGGCAGCGTGGCACTCAATCGACAAGGTAGCATGTGGCACGGCGGCATGGGGCAGGGCGGCATGGGGCAGGGCGGCATGGGGCAGGGGGGCATGGGGCAAGGCGGCATGGGGCAGGGCGGCATGGGGGCACATCGAGAAGAGGTAAGCCATCCTATAGCTGTCCCAGTAGGCCTTCCGCATTGCAAGCCTTGCAAGCCTGGCTCGCAGCCTACAAATCGTTTTGCTCGTACTTTTTGTCATATCGGGCCAATGTGCCAAAACGAGTCGACCAACCTTGACCCGATTCGAGTCAAATTTCGATTCTACCGAACTCGGCTATCCGGCTCGAATCAACTCGCAAATCAACGTTGACTCGACCTGCAAATGCGTTCCACTCACATTTGAGGAGTGCATTTGCTTGTGGTTTAAACTGGTAAGAATCTAATGCCCGGGCCAAGGAGGCTCTCACCAAGCTGCCAGGCTCGCCCCAGCCTTGCGACTCATGAGCCACCTCGTTCTAAACTCCCCCCGGGGGTAGTCCTCCAGGTCAGGGGATGGATTTAGCATGTCTTACGCTCCTCGCCAACCTCAACCAACGGAAAATCTCTGAAACTGAGGTCTTGAATGCATGCGATTTGGCTTGGAAAGTGTGTAATAGAAAACCAGCACAGCCCGAGATGCTCTGGTTTTCTATCAGCCCCATGGTCTCAAGCTGACCCGAGTTGTGTGCGAGTCTACTTCAGGAATCTTCCTACTCAAAGTGCACCTCAAACGGCCAGGCCACGAGCCCCTTTGTTCACTCATAGTATAGGACTCACCACCATTTGTCTTCTCCCTTGCACTATAATTTCAGATCCCGCGTGGTGTGCTCACTCCGTCTTCCCTCACCCCGCCTGGCTGTGGTAAGGAGAAACAAGCCACGGAAGCAACCAATCATGGATTCGGTTCTATCCAGTGTGAGGATGTGTATCCGGTGGGTGAGGTTGCATATTTCATGCCACGCTGAGCTGAGATCTTTGACTCGTCGTCATTCCTGGTCCGCATCCTCGTGCAGCCTTGTATCTTGCTCCCTTCCTACTCTTGGGATCCCTTCTGGCCTATCCCTCACTGCCGCGTTTTGCAACCCTCACCTACCTACTTGCATTGATGTAAAGGTGTGATGGGAGCGTCGAATTCTGCTTATACAATGAAGGTTTTTTTTGTTTGGAGAAACTTCAACAGATAAGACCCCTTTGTCTTTGCTTGCTACTTTTATTTTTCTCTCACCTCCTTTCTCTTGCACGACGATTCCCTTCTCAGAAACCATTTTCTGATACCATCGCTGTTCCTGGGACCTTCTGGCTGCTCTGCTCGTTCAGCTCGCTTCATGTGGCTGATGTACAACATCACCTTTGTACCAGCCCCTCTGTGTACCTCTCCAACCTGATCATCTCCTCCCTTGCCTGACTCCTCTGGTTCCTCTCTCTGGTTCGCTCGCTGTTCTTGAGGTTCCTTTTCACTCTGTCAGCAACTTTCCCATCCCCTTGTTTGTGTCCTTCACGGCTCGTGAGTTGGAATGAACCATGAAGGAGCATAGGGTTCATTCCGACTCGTGTGTGACTTCACACTACTACCCTATGCAGTCCTTTCCTCCTCATGGGTCGCCTTCACTCTTTGTATTCATTTCTGCATGCGTGTGTGTATGAATGTTCTACAATATAAAAACTCACCCATGCGGCCTCGGCCTTTATGGCTACCTTCTACTGGCGCCTACAGGAATACATGGGAGAGAAAACACCTCCTTCACCTGTAACGGATGGGTATGTAGGGAAAAAAAAGAAGATATGCAGTGTAGTAGGATATATAATGCTTTTGAAGGAATGAATGGGCAGAAGTTTTGGAGGGTTCCCAATATCAGAACTCGAGGATAGAGTGCGTGGGTGGGAGATCCATGGTGGTTGTACATGCGTGGTGTGCATCACAACCTTACAGCCATCCTCGCACCACGATTCTGTTCTGGGAACTGAAGAACAAATACATTTTAGCATAAACAAAACAGCCTCGTTGGGGGTGATAGCCTTATCAGAGCAAGGTTTCGATCCTCGGACCTGTGGGTTATGGGCCCACCACGCTTCCGCTGCGCCACTCTGATGCCTCCTGACACTTCTTTTTTTTTGTATAGTCCCTTTTTCAAGTTCTACTCTCCTTGCTCCTCTTCTACTCTCCTTGCTCCTCTTCTACTCTCCTTGCTCCTCTTCTACTCTCCTTGCTCCTCTTCTACTCTCCTTGCTCCTCTTCTACTCTCCTTGCTCCTCTTCTACTCTCCTTGCTCCTCTTCTACTCTCCTTGCTCCTCTTCTACTCTCCTTGCTCCTCTTCTACTCTCCTTGCTCCTCTTCTACTCTCCTTGCTCCTCTTCTACTCTCCCTGCTCCTCTTCTACTCTCCTTGCTCCTCTTTTACTCTCCTTGCTCCTCTTCTACTCTCCTTGCTCCTCTTCTACTCTCCTTGCTCCTCTTCTACTCTCCTTGCTCCTCTTCTACTCTCCTTGCTCCTCTTCTACTCTCCTTGCTCCTATTCTACTGTCATTTCTCCTCTTCTACTCTCCTTGCTCCTCTTCTACTCTCCTTGCTCCTCTTCTACTCTCATTGCTCCTCTTCTACTCTCATTGCTCCACTTCTACTCTCATTGCTCCTCTTCTACTCTCATTGCTCCTCTTCTACTCTCATTGCTCCTCTTCTACTCTCCTTACTCCTCTTCTAATCTCCTTGCTCCTCCAGGGCTTTCTCTTGTTCCAATGCGGTCTGGCTTCATGCCAAATGCATGAGTGTGCTTGATCCATACTTGTCCCCCCTCCCCCTTCTCCCCGTTTTTCCCCCCGCCAGGTGTGTGAGAGCCGCATGCCAGCAGTAGCAGACCGCGTGGTGCTGCGCAAGCTGGCCCAGGACATGTGTGAGTGGTCGCGCCTGCTGGTGAGTGAGTGAGAAGAGAGGGGGGGAAGAGGAGAGGAGGGGATTTGGGGATGAGCGGTGAGGGGTGATGGCGCAGGGCATGCACGAGTGGCTGCGCCCATGGGTGAGGGGGGCGATGGGATAATGGGGATATGGGAGGCTTAAGAGGAGATAGGGGGGTTGAAGGGAGATGAGGGTAGGTGAAGGCTCGGACAAAAAGGGTGAGGTATGTGACGCAAAGATTGGTTATTTTTTCAAGCCACAATGCCCATTTTTTCTCTGCACCCATCTCCCCACCACCCTCCCTCACCCCTCTTCCCCAACCCTCTCCCCCACCCCTCTCCCTCACCCCTCTCCCCCAACCCTCTCCCCCACACCTCTCCCCCATCTCTCTCCCCCACCCGCTTGCCCCAACGGCCTCTACCCACCCGTCTCCCCTCCCTGCTTTCCCGCACCTCTCCCCCACTCTCCGCACGCCCCACCCTTACCCCTCTCTGCCACGCCTCTCTCCCAACACTTCCCTAAACCTCTTTCCCAAGCCTCTCCCCCAAACCTCTCGCCCAACCCGCTCCCCAACCCCTTTTCCCCCACGCCTCCCGCCTGTGCCTCCCCTCCACGCCTCCTTCCAACACCTCCCCCTCTCACGCCTTGGCCACACGCCTCTCCCCCACCGTCTTCCTCCCCCATGCCCTGATCCTGCCGGGAGGAGTCAGCTGGCGAGGAGGCAGTGGGATCCAGTGGCTAGCGCAAGTCAATGTACGCGCAGATCACGGGCATAGGGCCATGGGCCACAGGTCAACAGGGCTGGACTATACCACCCACCCAGCAAGAGCTTGCTGACGAGACCGCAGCAGAGCAGAGCACATCATGCGCCCTAGGTGTGCGCGTACTTTGCGTGCTGTTCCCTGGCAGTGAGGCCCTCGTAGCGGAACACAACTGGCCTGCGATGGACCTTGGTGTCGCCCGACTGCTCTCCAGCAGTGACCCCATCGTCGTGGGATTGGTTGAGATAACGACTAGGACAACACTCAAGCAACGATGCATGATGGTCCGCCCTACACTTCTTGCTTTCCCCATGCTCTTTGCTTCTCCCTTCCTCCTCCCCCATCGCACCTACCCCCACCCCATCCCCTCGAAGCGTCACCCCACCTGCACATTCCCCACCTGCACCTCTTCCACGGCCCTGCCACTCGTTTCCTGTCTTTCATGCCCTCTTGTGGGTGCGTTGTAAGAAGAGGGGGGGAGTGGGGTGAAGACAAGGCAGTGCCGGTGAGATGGCGGATAAGGGAGCGTGTGTGGTGGGGAATAGGAAAATGGTGGGAGGAAAGGGGGGCGGGAGATGGGGGGGATAATTACTGTGTGTAGCTGTCCATCTGCCCTACTTCCTTTCCCGCCCTCTATGCTGCCATGGTGGTGAGGTGAGTAAGGGGGTGGATGGTGGACGCTGGATGGTGGATGGTGGATTGTGCATGGTGGATGGTGGATAATGCGTGGTGGATTGTGGGAGGTGGATGGTGGGCTGTTAACAGCATTGCCCCGAGTGTGTTGTTAAACTCCAACTGGTCCTGTTGGGGTGGGCAAAAGACTAATTTGGCCACCCTTGTAACAGAGAACTGTGGTCTAAAAACAATGGATTGGCTCTGCTGGACTAGACGAATTTCCAGGCAGTGCGCTCTGCCAGTTATCAGCCTGCATCTTCGTGGCCTTCCCTCCCTTTCTTTTCCTTCCCTTTCCTACTTTCCCTTCCCTATCTTCCTTTCCCTGCTTTCTCTTCCCTCCCTGGCCTTCCCTACATTCCCCTCCCTCCTTCCCTTCCCTGCGTTCCCTACCTTCCCCACCTTACCTGCTCTCCCTCTTTGCAGGGCCTATTCAGCAGGCGCAAGGCCAAGATGACCACTATTATCACGTCTCCCTCTGGGCACTTGGCATTTTCTCTGGCAGGCAGTGTGCTCCGCCTCCTCTGAGCCTTCATCGTCCTCGCCCTCCGCAATAACGAGGAGCTCCCTTCAAGCGACGATGGGGATTTGTGATTGCCCCGATGCTGTAGAATGGAAGTCTGCTGCTTCTGCTCCCCAAGAGTGACAGCATGTTCACCCACACTGATTTCCGGGTGTCATACATCATTCCACTGCTTAACAGCAGTCTGCTGGTTCTTTGTGTCAGGTTTCGGAGTGTACATCATGTCCATCACGCATCACACAATTATTCGTTGGCACGAAATTTTCTAACCTTCTGCAACAACGGACTCACTTGACAATGACCTATACAACAACCTCAAATATCTTGCGAGCATACAGTACAAGCATACAGTATTTGCAGCCACAATACAATACTCTCCCTGAGCCAGGGCTGACGATATCAGGGTAATTACCCTGATTTCAGGGTGATTACAGGCTTCTGACTTGGTGGTCCCTGCTGTTGGGCTGAACGCCCTAGGATCTTTTAGTAGAGTTAAAGTCTTGGGTAAAAGATGTAATAGCGGAAGCGTATTCATGAAAGTCTTTGAACCACCTTGCGCTAGTATGTGAGAGCAAAGTAAGTTGATTAATGCAAAGAGATTCAGGAATATATATATGAGTACAGAGTATATGAAGAGACATAATTGTAACTGTTTTACTGTTGCGGTTCGATATAGTGCGACTCGGGCAACTGCTCAAAGTCGAGTCAGTTGTGTGTCCTTGCTGTCGCGCTGCGTCAGGTCAAAAGTCGCTGACCTTTGACTTTCTCGTAACCTCCAGCGGTTAAGTTAACCTCCGAGGGTTGACTCGCGGTGCTTTGATTTGAGCTGCTTCGCTTGTGTCTTGGGTTAAGTCAGCAGCATGCAGTACTCGAACTTATGTTTTCCGAGCTTCTTGGTCAAGTAGTCAGCTGCCATCTTGGACGTGGGACAGTAGGATAATTTGAGTTTCCCTTTCTCGATCTCGTCCTTCACAAAGAAATATCGCAGGGCGATATGCTTCGTTCTGTTCGCGAATCCGCTCTTGTTGGCGATACGAATCGCATATTGGTTGTCGCAGAACAGAGTGAAGTTGGGTAACTCGGCTAACTTCGCTTCTTCCAGCAGCTCGCGAAGGTAGAGTCCTTCCTTGGTGGCTGAGCAGAGTGCGATACATTCTGCTTCAGCTGAAGAGAGAGAAATTAGTTCCTGCTTGCTCGATTGCCAGGAGATAGGTCCGATAGGTTTGAGGCGGTAGATGTAGCCAGTGCGGGAGCGCCTGTTGTCTGAGTCGCCGGCGTGATCGGCGTCGACGTAGCCGATTAGTTTCGTCGGCGTAGTTGTGTTCTTGTAGTACGTCAGGCCGATCGTTGAGGTGCTCACAAAATAGTGAAGAGCGCGGTCGAGTTCCGCCAGGTGTTCTGTTTCGGGCCTTTTGAGATAGGTAGCAATTTGACTTGCGGAGTAGGACAGATCTGGGCGGCAGGTGACGGCTGCGAAGAGGAGGCAGCCCAGCTTTCGCTGGTAGTCGCGTATTCCGGCGGTTTTGAGTAAAGCGGAGCTTCCCTTGTCGTTCCCAGCCGTGTAGCGGTTTGGCGTGGAGATAGTAGCAGGTGTGAGCGCGAAGCGTTTGGCGATAGTGTCGGCATACTTTTCGGCGCTGAGGTAGATCGCGTTCTCTTCTTCGCGGATGTTGAGTCCGAGATACTGAGTGACGGTAGAGGAGACCGTGAGTGTGAGGTCCCTCTTCAGCTCCCCTTCGAACCAGGTAGTTATGTCGTCAGTAGAACCGATGTAGAGTAAATCGTCGACGTAGACGATCAGCAGAATGTAGTCGGCGTCTTTGGTGAGTCGGTACATTCCTTGGTCGTGAGGCAGTTGACGGAATCCGATGCGAGTGAGGCGAGTGTGTAGGTGCTGTTGCCACAGCCGCGGGGCTTGTTTGATTCCGTAGAGTGATTTTAGTAACTGACAGACTTGGTTAGGTTCCCCGTGGGTACCGTGTGGGAGCTCGACGAGGATTTCGGCGTCGACGGGTGCGTAGAGGAATGCGTTGGCGAGATCGATTTGCCGCAGTTTCTTCTTCTTCATAGCGGCGATTGCGATGAGAATTCGGAGTGAGGTGTGTCGGCTGACCGGGGCGAATGTCTCGGTGAAGTCCCGTCCGTGCTCCTGGTCGAATCCACGCACGACCCAGCGTGCTTTGAATTTCTCGATTTTGCCGTCTGCTTTCGTTTTGATGCGAAAGACCCATTTCCCGGTGAGGATGGTCTTGTTCCTTGCCACGCTTACGGGAACGACTTTCCAGGTGTTACGTTCCTCCAGCGCCTTTAACTCTCTGTCCATGGCTTCACGCCATTTCTCCCTGTGTCCCCCCCCCAGAGCCTGCTGAACCGTCGCAGGCTCCTTAGGAAGGGTGTTGCCGTGGACTACGGTGACGAGGCCGAGAATCTGCAGTCCAGTCTGTGAGTAGCGGGGGAGTGTTGTGTCCTCGGGATAAGCTGCTTCATCTCCCGCTTCTGGGCCGGGTATGAAATTCGGCCCTATCCGTTCTGCTTCGTTGGTGTTGACTGTCGCAGGTGTTACGTAATCAGTGTCGGCGAAGTGGTAGAAGACTTCGGCGTTGGCGCTTTCGCGAGGATTTTCTTCGTCCATGGGGACGTTGACGGAGCGGAACGGGAGAGGTCCGGCTTCTTCTGATGCGTTGTCGACGGTCTGCTCGTCCCAGTCTGCTTCGTCCGCTGCTAAGGCGAAGGCTCGGTCACCATGAAAGCCACCTGTGGGATCTTGATTCTCGTGCAAGTTGGCGAGGTACGTCTGAAGCGTGAGTCTTTCGTAGAAGATCACATCACGTGCTGCTACTGTTTCCTTGGAGTGGACGTCGAAGATTTTCCACGCGTTGTAATTCTTTTCGATGCCGAGGTGTAGTCCCCACTGTGCGTGTTGTGAAAATCTTCCCGCTCGTGCCTCTGGGGGTCGGTACTGTACCATGCTCCCGAAAACTTGTAACATTTTTGTACTGCCCTGTTTCCCTGTCCACAGCAGATGCGGTGATGCGTTGTTCGGGAGTGAGGACGACGACATCAAGTTGTGCAGCATGACAGCACGGTCCATTGCTGCAGGCCACTGGTGGTTGGGTAGCCGCATGCCACGTAGCAGTTTGCGCATGCTGTTCTGCAGAGTCCTGTTCATTCTTTCTGCGACACCTTGCTGCTGATGGGCGTAGGGAAGGGAGAGGAGTTGCTTGATTCCTCTTTCCGCCAGGTACTGCTTGAATCGCTGAGAGGTGTATTCTCCTCCTCCGTCTGACTGGAAGCTTTTCAGCTGTGCTCCCGACTCTCTTTCTGCTACTGGTAGCCAGGTGGCGAACGCTGCGAGTGCCATGTAGCGGCTGGGTAGGTTTAGGTGCCAGACGTATCGAGTGGCGGCGTCGATGAAGGTTATCGTATAGTTGTAAGTAACTTGTCCTGGTTCTGGATTGAAGAGAATGTCACTGTACACCTTCTCGAGTGGGGCGTACGCGGGTGCGCTCGGATTGTGGTGAGGAGTAAACGGTCGATGTGGTAAGTCGGCTTCGGGGCAGGTAAGGCAAGTTCCTCGTGCCCGTTGAAGTTCTCTGCCATCGGGTAATAGTAATGAATCCTTGTCTAGGACTCCTGCTCTTATTGTATTATTTAACACGGTGTTGCTTGGATGTCCCATGCGTGCGTGCCAGATGTCTTCGGAGGCGCGATGTCCGGGTGAGCGTCGATACGCGTCGGAGTTGGAGTAGAAGCTGACGACGAAGTTTGCGCTTCTGTGGACTTCTCGTTCAGTTGAGTTCAGCTGCTGTGCGGGTGTTGGTGGTGCTTCGTTGACGAGGACTGGTGTCGTTGGTCCTGCTGCTGCTGCCGATGTTGTCTCTGCTGCTGCCGATGAAGTTTCTGCTGCTGCCGATGTTGTTTCTGCTGCTGCCGATGTTGTTTCTGCTGCTGCCGATGTTGTCTCTGCTGCTGCCGATGATGTTTCTGCTGCTGCCGAATGTTGAATTTTTGCTAACGCGCGTGTTCTTTCTGCTTCAGGGATGGTATGCGAGTACCAGAAGCCTTCCGAGCTGAAGTCTGGATCAAGATCTGGAGGATGTGTCCAATCGGCGAAGTTCACGATGGCGTCGCTGTCTGCAGTGCCCAGGTCTGGAACGAAGTCTAGGACGAAGACGTTGTTCTTCAAGACCGCCTTCCCGATGTAGAGGCCGCCCTTCCCGTGGTATAATTTGAACTCCTGGGTGGTACTGTCGGCTTCCAAGTGAATGCCTTTCGCCATCAACTGGCTGACGCTCAGTAAGTTGTAGCCGAGTCCCTCCGCGATTAGTACTTTTGACATATGCAGTATAACATTTGTCTCTCGTGACTGAAGTTGTACTACTCCTTGTCGTCGTGTGCGCAGGTTCTGGTTGTTGGCGACCGTGATGACGACCTCTCGTTGAAGTCGGTGTTCGCGTTGGACGAAGCGTCCCGAAGAGCACATGTGTTGTCCGCAGCAACTGTCCAAGAACCATGTGTCTTTCCCGGACGGTTCGCTTTGAGCGATGGCAGCGTATGCCGGGTTCGGTTGAAGTGACTCGCGGCGAGGCATGCTGTTGTCGAGTTGTTCTTCTGGTGAGTAGTATGGTGGTGACTCGTTTGTGCAGGAATCTGCTATCTTCTCCATGCAGTTGACGATGTTTCTTCCTCCTTGTGCAGGTTGTCCTGTTGGAGTCGTTGAAGCTTGGACTGAAGTTGTCGGGTTTGCTTGCGTTGAAGTGACTTGGGAGCTTGAAGGCTGGAGTTGTCACTGTGGTGTTGTCGATTGCTGACGATACGGGCAATGCGTACGAGGATGCCTTGAAGTCTTGCAGATGTGGCAAAACGGAGGTACTGGCTTCAATTGTTGTTGCTGCCGATTGTTGTTGTTGTTGTAGCGTCGCTGGGTGTGAAACGCGAACTCTGGTACTGACGTTTTCTTCTTATGTCGTTCTTCTTGCAGGTCCATGTCCTGCTGCTCGGCATG